CTAGTGAACCAAACTGAGAGACCATTTTGAAGGCTCAGGAAACCTTTGCAGGTGTTTTGAGTTGATTATCTGATTGGCATGTCACCATATTCTAATTTGTTGAGATAGTGAATTGGTGGGTTTTTGTTAAATGTGAGCCAAAATCATCACAATTAAAAGAACCAAAGACTTAAACTACTTCAGTCTGTGTGCAATGAATTTATTTAATACACAAGTTTTACAATTTGAGTTGAATTACTGAAATAAATGAACTTTTCCACGACATTCTAATTTATTGAGATGCACCTGTATATATACACACTGAATATGCATTCAAGCCAATTCAGAAAGTCAACTTTATTTCTAAAGCACTTTATACAATATAGATTATTTCACAGCAGCTTCACAACAAATTCAAATTCTGCCTTTAAAGCAGCAAGTCAATAGTGTCATTATACAGCTCAAGTCAGTTCAGTATTGTTTCAGTTCAGTTGCATAAAATTCATCAACAAATTCATCACTTATACATTCATATTGTATATACAGTGTATATGTGCATACGCATGTATGTGTGAGTTCTACATCTCGGAGACGTCTATTTGACGTCTGCATTTACATCTGCAAGACGTATTTTTAGAGTGTTTGCTCATCTGCATTACGTCTATAGGACGTTTCCTATCAGATGTCAAATAGACGTTTAGAAGATGTCTTTAAGATGTTAATGATTTAGAATGCATGTAAAACTGACATCTTACAAGACATCTATCAGATGTTTGTACACAGCAGATGCTTTCCAGATGAAGATATCTTTAACAGACATCTTGCAGACGTACGTGTGCTATCTGGGATATTGCAAACGAGTAAACTTTAAAAAATACATTTTGCAGATGTAAATGCAGATGTCAAATAGACGTCTCAGTGATGTATGTGTGCTGAGAACCAGATTCATGTTATTTTAGTTTAATTATAACATAGATACTGCTTCTTTACATAGCCTATAGTTAATTTGTTAGTATTTGAGCATATAAAATGATTTCTGGCTTTTCCAGTCGTTTGAGGTTATTGGATAAGGATAATTTTGATTCAGACCAAATAGTGAACCGTTTGACTGATTCATTGAAAAGAACCGACTCAAAAGAACAATTCAAAGCACAATTCACTCACCAACTAAACTTCACCATGACTTGCAAGTAAGTTTTACTCCACACAAGATCAATATTTAATTTATGAGACATTTTCCAGCAGAAAATATCTATATTCAAATTTCATCAAGGTTGTATTAATTTCCTGTCCAGTAATTGTTCAATTCTATGTTCCCAGATTTTTCATGACCATTATTCAGGGACTGATGTCAGAGCTCTTCTAGATCTGATGTCATAAACCACTATGGCAACAGTAGCCACGCCCACCACAGCAGAGATGACCAATCGAATCACAGCTTCAGTGAAACCACAACAGTGGACTCGATCTGAAGGTAGAAAAATTTGTTTTATTGAGAACCTACATTTGACAAACATTTCTTATTTTTTAAATTATATTAATATCCACATTGATGTACCTGCACATGTCTGACAGAGTCCACTGATGTCCAGATTTGTGGTCTGGTTGCTGATGGAATTGTTGAGCACACAGCTGTAGGTGTTGTTATCCTGATATTCCACCTCCAGAGGTAGAGAGAGACTGATGCTGAGATCAGACACACTGATGCTGGACAATAAACTGTTTCCTTTGTACCAGGAGAGAGTCACATGACCCACATTCACCACTGAACACAGCAGTGAACAGTTCTGCTGTGATGATCCTGATGATGAGGATGAACAGTTTGAAGAGTCTCTGGTGATGACAGGAATGGGCAGACGAGCTGGAAAATATCAAACATAAGACAAAATAAGAATATATTTATTAATAGATTATTATTATTATTATTATTATTGTTGTTGACACTTATTTTCAGCTTTTTAAGAAATTCGGTTTGAGTTTATCACAAGCTTTCAAGAAAGAAATGCATAAATATTCATAAATATGTACATTCAATTGAAATACTCACCATAGACAGTAACATTGAAATAAAACGGTATGTATTTTATCATCTGTAGTTGATAAAGTCCAGAGTCTGTTGTTCTGATGTTCCTGATGGTCAGAGATCCAGTTTGATTGTTCATCTGTAGTCTGTCTCTGAATCTCTCAGCATTAAAATAATTAATAGCAGGTGCCGCCTTATTAAATTGAATGACTATAAATGCTTTTTCAGGTCCAAACCTCCACTGTATGTAACGTATATTTTGTAGCATCAGTGTGTAGAGTGACAGAATCTCCCTCCATCACTGACATCTTCATTCCATCTGTATCTGAACCAAGCAAACCAAATTAGCAAGATTAAAAGAACAGTTCACCCAAAAATTTATGTTTTGTCATCATTTGTTCTGTTGTTCCACACCTGTTTGACTTTCTTTCATCTGTGGAAGATATTTTGAAGACATACAGTGAAAGCTAAAGGGATCCAATACAGCACTGGACCTCACTGGCATGCATTTCTTTCACACACACACACACACAGAACATGTTTTGTGTTCCACAGAAGAAAATCAAACAGGTTTGGAACAACATGAGGGTGAGTATGACAGAATTTTAGTTAATCTGACTTTACTCAACCTGAAGCCATAAAAACACGTATAACTCACTAACCAGATGCCATAAACAGAAAAAAATAAGTACACAAAACATTTCTTCCAACCATATGAGAGAATGGGGGAAGTCTAATGAAGGAACTCTTCTGTCTGTCAGTACAAAGAACTACTCCAGT